GAGGAAACCAGGCTGGTGGGGGGGGGGAGTTGGGGCAACCAGGCCGACAGGGGGCAGCAGTTAGGGGCAACCTGGCCGGCAGAGGGGGCAGTAAGGGGTGACCAGGCTGGCAGGGTGGGCAGTTAGGAGTGACTAGGCCAGCAGGGAAGGGGCAGTTGAGGGTGACCTAGCCAGCAGTGGAGGGAAGTTAGGGATGATCAGGTCAGCGGGGGGGAGGGGGGGTAGTTAGGGGCGATCAGGCCAGCACACAGAGGCAATGAGGGGCGATCATGCTTTCAGGGGGGCAGTTAGGGGTGACCAGGCAGGCAGGCAGGTGAGTGATTAGGAGCCAGCAGTCCAGGATTGTGAGAGGGATGTCTGACTGCCAGTTTAGGCCCAATCTTGGGGATCAGGCCTAAACCGGCAGTTGGACATCCCCTGTGGTGTCCTGGATTGGAGAGGGTGCAGGCTGGGCTGAGGGGACCATCCCCGTACACGAATTTTGTGCACCAGGCCTCTAGTCTTGTAATAATTGTGCATGGTGTCAGATGGGTACTAGACTTATGAGGGTGATTACTTCATGATGTATATTTGAGCCAAACTGTCGACAATTGCCAGGAAGCAATATCTCAACGGATTGGAATAGTGCTCCGGAGAATGGCAGTTTCTCATCTATTTTATACATTGCCATCAAAGAGGGGACATAGGAGGGTTACATGAAATCCACTGGTGATAGATTAGAGAGGCAAACAAAACCCGGAAACCTCTGGGATTGGATAAGAAATAAAATGATGGACACATATTTAGATGGGTGCAGGAACAATTAACATGATAACAGTGAAGGAATTTGTGGTATCTGTCCTGGCTCCCAGGCACATTGCCCCAAGGGATCTGGAAAAGGGGAAGTTACAAGTTACTGAGACATTTCAAGGATATGTTATCATAGATGCAAAAAAGACAGATAGGCTCAGTTAAAGGTTGACCTTATCAGTGAAGATACCAGCCTAGGAGGTGACTACCCACCATAACTGCTTTTAGTTAAAGTTTAATTTCAGACCATCCTTTGTGGTTACTTTAGGTCTCTGAGTTTGCAAGACTGCCATGCAGGCCTCCCCTGACCTAGTCAGGTTAGCATGTGGCCCCTTCCGTCCACAGTCCTTTTAGATGTGGTGTCTGCAAGCTGGTATGCTGTCTGGGGACAGTGCTAGACCTGGGGAAGGACAGAGACAAGGAAATAGTGCAATGTATAGGAGAGGTACTGCATTATACAGATACTTGCCTTAAGAAGAGACTTCGCCTATTGAGTTCTGTCACCAAAAATTAAAAAAAAAAAAAAAAAAAGAGCAAGAAAAGGAGAAGAAATAAAAGGGTGAGCAATCCCACTCCACAAGCCATTCAGCGAGAGGCTGGATCTCAGTGAGCGTGAGGTGAGAGGCAGCAATCTGCCTCCCCCTCCTCCCTCTGCTCCCTTCCCTCCCAGGGGCAGATGGTTGGGCTGAGTTTGAAGTTGATGTTCATCAATGAACAGATTTCAGATAGCAAGCCCTGCAGAGCAAGCCATAATTAGGGGCTCAAGTGGACAACCTGAGATTTGATTTGGCTCTGGATGAGAAACCCTCTGTGTTGTTTTTATTATGTGACACAGAGACAGAGCCACACAGGGAAGAAGTCCACGTGACAGTAGAGGCAGAGATGAGGGTGATGAAGTTGCAGCCGAGAAACGCCATGGATTGCCAGTAACATCAGAAGCTGGAGAGAGGCATGGGATGGGTTCTCCCTCAAGAGCTTCCAGAAGGGCCGACACCTTGATTTCAGACCTTTGGCCTCGAGAACTGTGAGACAATAAATGTCTATTGTCTTAAGCCCCCAGTTTGTGGTCATTTGTTCATTTTAAAATCACATAGAACAGCGGTTCTCAACCTGTGGGTCGCGACCCCTTTGGGGGGTCGAACGACCCCTTTCACAGGGGTCGCTTAAGACCATCGGAAAACACATATATAATTACATATTGTTTTTGTGATTAATCACTATGCTTTAATTATGTTCAATTTGTAACAATGAAATTGGGGGTCACCACAACATGAGGAACT